TCTTCTTTTTCTCTGTCCTCTTCTTTTTCTCTGTCTCTTCTTTTTCTCTTTCTCTTCTTTTCTCTATCTCTTCTTGTTCTCTGTCTCTTCTTCTTTTCTCTGTCTCTTTTTTTCTCTGTCTCTCTCTCTTTCTCTTCTTTTTCTCTGTCTCTTCTTCTCTGTCTCTTCTTTTTCTCTGTCTCTTCTTCTTCTCTGTCTCTTCTTTTTCTCTTTCTCTTCTTTTCTCTGTTCTTCTTTTTCTCTTTCTCTTCTTTTTCCTCTTTCTCTTCTTTTTCTCTTCTCTTCTTTTTCTCTTTCTCTTCTTTTTCTCTGTCTCTTCTTTTTCTCTTTCTCTTCTTTTTCTCTGTCTCTTTCTTTTTCTCTGTCTCTTCTTCTTCTCTTCTCTTCTTTTTCTCTGTCTCTTTCTTTTCTCTGTCTCTTTTTCTCTTTCTCTTCTTTTTCTCTGTCTCTTCTTTTTCTCTGTCTCTTCTTTTTCTCTGTCTCTTCTTTTTCTCTGTCTCTTCTTTTTCTCTTTCTCTTCTTTTTCTCTTTCTCTTCTTTTTCTCTGTCTCTTCTTCTCTTTCTCTTCTTTTTCTCTCTTCTTTTTCTCTGTCTCTTCTTCTCTGTCTCTTCTTTTTCTCTGTCTCTTCTTTTTCTCTGTCTCTTCATCTTCTCTGTCTCTTCTTCTTCTCTGTCTCTTCTTCTTCTCTTTCTCTTCTTTTTCTGTCTCTTCTTTTTCTCTGTCTCTTCTTTTTCTCTGTCTCTTCTTTTTCTCTGTCTCTTCTTCTCTGTCTCTTCTTTTTCTCTGTCTCTTCTTTTTCTCTGTCTCTTCTTTCTTCTCTGTCTCTTCTTTTTCTCTGTCTCTTCTTTTTCTCTGTCTCTTCTTTTTCTCTGTCTCTTCTTTTTCTCTGTCTCTTCTTTTCTCTGTCTCTTCTTTCTTGGTCCTTTCTTTTCTCTGTCTCTCTTTTTCTCTGTCTCTTCTTTTCTGTCTCTTCTTTTCTCTGTCTCTTCTTTTCTCTGTCTTTCTTTTTCTCTGTCTCTTCTTCTTCTCTTTCTCTTCTTTTTTCTCTGTCCTTCTTTTTCTTTTCTCTCTTTTTCTCTGTCTCTTCTTTCGCCGTCTCTTCTTCTCTATCTCTTCTTTTCTCTGTCTCTTCTTCTTCTCCTTTCTCTTCTTTTTCTCAGTCTCTTCTTTTTCTATGTCTCTTCTTTTTCTCTTCTCTTCTTTTTCTCTGTCTGTCTCTTCTTTTTCTCTTTCTCTTCTTTTTCTCTGTCGTCCTCTTCTTTTTCCTCTGTCTCTTCTTTTTCTCAGGTCTCTTCTTCTTCTCTTTCTCTTCTTTTTATCTCTCTTCTTTTTCTGTCTCTTATTATCTTTTCTCTTCCTTTTTCTCTGTCTCTTTTTTCTTTCTCTTTTTTTCTCTGTCTCGTTCTTTTTCCTCCTGTCTCTTCTTTTTCTCTGTCCTCCTTTTGTTCTCTGTCTCTTCTTTTTTCTCTGTCTCTCTTTTTCTCTTTCTCTTCTTCTTCTCTTTCTCTTATTTTTCTTTATCTCTTCTTTTTTTTTCTATCTCTTCTTTTTTCTCTGTCTTTTCTTTTTCCTCATGTCTCTTCTTTTTCTTTTCTGTCTCTTCTTTTTTCTCTGTTTCTTCTTTCTCTTTCTCTTATTTTTCTCTGTCTCTTCTTTTGCTTCTGTCTCTTCTTTTCTCTGTCTCTTCTTCTTCTCTGTCCTCTTCTTCTTCCTCTTTCCTCTCTTTTCCCTTTCTCTTAATTTGTTCTCTGTCTCTTTTTTTCTGTCTCTGCTTCTTCTTCTCTGTCTCTTCTTTTTCTCTGTCTCTTCTTCTTCTTTGTCTCTTCTTTTCTCTGTCTCTTCTTTTTCTCTGTCTCTTCTTTTTCCTGTCTCTTCTTTTTTCTCTGTCCTCCTTCCTCTTTCTCCTTCTCCTTGTCTCCTCGTCTCCTTGTCCTCCTTGTCTCCTTGTCTCCTTGTCTCCTTGCGCCTTACCTTCCTTGTCTCCTTGTCTCCGTTGTCTCCTTGTCTCCTTTCCCTCGTCTCCTTGTCTCCTCGTCTCCTTGTCCTCCTTACCGTCCTTTCTCCTTGTCTCCTTGTCTCCTTGTCTCCTTGTACTCCTTGTCTCCTTGTCTCCTTCCCTCCTTTGTCTCCTTGTCTTTCCTTGTCTCCCTTGTCTCCTTGTCTCCCTCGTCTCCTTGTCTCCTCGTCTCCTTGTCTCCTGTCTCCTTGTCTCCCTGTCTCCCTTACCTCCTTTCTCCTTGTCGCCTTGTCTCCTTGTCCTCCTTGTCTCCTCGTCTCCTTGTCTCCTCCGTCTCCGTTGCTCCTTCCTCCTTGTCTCCCCTTGTCTCCTTGTCTCCTGTCTCCTTGTCTCCTCGTCTCCTTGGTCTCCTTACCGCCTCGTCTCCTGTCTCCTTGTCTCCTTTGGTCTCCTTGTCTCCTTGTCTCCTTCTCCCTTGTCACTCCTCGTCTCCTGTCTCCTTCCCTCCTTTGTCTCCTTTTACTCCTTGTCCCTCCCCTTGTCTCCTTGTGCTCCTCGTCTCCTTGTCTCCTCGTCTCCTTGTCGCCTTACACTCCTTGTCTTCCTGTGTCTCCTTGTCTCCTTGTCTCCTGTCTCCTCGTTCTCCTTACCCTCCTTGGTCTCCCTGTCCTCCCCTCGTCTCCTTGTCTCCTTGTCTCCTTGTCTCACCATTGCCCCTTGTCCCGTCCCTCGTCTCCGTTGTCTCCTCGTCTCCCCTTGTCTCCTCGTCTCCTTGTCTCCCTTACTCCTTGTCTCCTTGTCTCCTTGTCCCTCCTTCGTCTCCCTTGTCTCCTTACCCTCCCTCCTTGTCTCCCTTGTCTGGTCCTGTCTCCTTGTCTCCTTGTCTCCCTGTCCCTCCTTGTCTCCTTTGTCCTCCTTGTCTCCTTACCTCCTGTCCCTTGTCTCCTTTCTCCCTTGTCTCCTTGTCTCCTCGTCTCCTTCTCTCCTTGTCTCCTTTCTCCTGTTTCTCCGTCGTCTCCTTGTCTCCTCGTCCTCCTGTCTCCTCGTCTCCTTGTCTCCTTGTCCCTTTCTCCTACCTCCTTGTCTCCTTGTCTCCTTGTCTTCCTTAACCTCCTTTTCTCCTTGTCTCCTTGTCTCCTTGTCTCCGTTGGCCTCCTTGTCCTCCTTTCCTCCTTTCTCCTTGTCTCCTTACCCGTCCTTGATCTCCTTGTCTCCTTGTCTCCTGTCGTCCTTGCTCCTCGTCTCCTTGTCTCCTCGTCCCCTTGTCCTCCTTACCTCCTGTCTCCTTGTCTCCTTGTCTCCTTTCTCCTTGGTCATCCTCCTCGTCTCCTGCTCCTCGTCCTTCCTTGTCTCCTTACCCCTCCTTGTCCTCCTTGTCTCCTTGTCTCCTTGTCTCCTTGTCTTCCTTGTCTCCTTTGTCCCCTCCTTGTCCTCCTTGTGTCTCCTTACCTCCTTGTCTCCTCCTTGTCTCCTTGTCTCCTTGTCTCCTTGTCTCCTCGTCTCCTTGTCTCCTCCGTCTCCTTTTCTCCTTACCTACTGTCTCCCCTTGTCTCCTTGCTCCTTGTCTGCCTTGTCTCCTGTCCTCCTTACCTCCTTGTCCCTCCTTGTCTCCTCGTCTCCTTGCTCCTTGTCTCCTTGTCTCCTTGTCTCCTTGTCCCTCCTTGTCTCCTTGTCTCCCTCGTCTCCTTACCCTCCTGTCTCCTTTTCTCCTTGTCCTTGTTCCTTTTCTCCTCGTACTCTCATTACCTCTCCTTGTCTCCTGTCTCCTTGTCTCCTTGGCTCCTTGTGCTCCTTGTCTCCACTCGTCTCCTTACCTCCTTGTCTCCTGTCTCCTTGTCTCCTTGTCTCCTTGTCCCTTGTCTCCTTGTCTCCTCGTCTCCTCTTTTCTCCTGTCTCCTTGTTCCTTGTCTCCTCGTCTCCTTGATCCTCCTTGTCTCCTGACCTCCTTGTCTCCTTGCTTCTTTACACTCCTCCGTCGCCGTTGTCTCCTTGTCTCCTTGTCTCCTCGTCTCCTTGTCTCCTTGTCTCCTTACCTCCTGGTCCTCCTTTGTCTCCTTGTCTTCTCGTCTCCTTCCCTCCTTGCTCCCTTGTCTCCTTGGCTCCTCCTTGCTCCTTGTCTCCTTGTCTCCCTCGCTCCTTCCTCCTTGCCTCCTTGCTTCTTTACCTCACTACCTTCCCTCGTCCTCCTTGTCTCCTTGTCTCCTTAACACTCCTTGGTCTCCTTGCTTCTTACCCTCCTCGTCTCCTGTGCCTCCTTGTCTCCTTACCCGCCTTGTCTCCTTGCTTTTTACATCCTCGTCTCCTTGTCTCCTTGATCTCCTGTCTCCTCGTCTCCTTGTCCTCCTTACCGTCCTTGTCTCCTTGGCCTCCTTGCCTCCTTGTCTCCGTTCTCTCCTCGTCTCCCTGTCTCCTCGTCTCCTTGTCTCCTTACTCCTTGTCTCCTTGTCTCTCTGTCTCCTTGTCTCCTTTTCTCCTCGTCTCCCTTGTCTCCTCGTCCCTTTCTCCTTACCTCCTTGTCTCCTTGTCCCCTTGTCTCCTGTCTCTCCTGGTCTCCTTGTCTCCTTGTCTCCTTGTCTCCTTGTCTCCTTGTCTCCCTGGTCTCCTTGTCCTCCTTGTCTCCTTGTCTCCTCGTCGCCTTGTCTCCTTACCTCTTGTCTCCTTGTCTCCCTTACCCTCCTTTGTTCCCTTGTTCCCTCCTTGTCTCCTTGTCTCCTCGTCCTCCTTACCCATGCCTTGTCTCCTTGTCCTCCTTGTCTCCTTGTCTCCCCTTGTCTCCTTTTTTTTTGTTGTTTCCCCCCACCCCCCCCCCACCCCCCCCCCCCCTCCTTGTCTCCTTGTCTCCTCGTCTCCTTGTCTCCTACCTTCCTTTGTCTCCTTTCTCCTTGTCTCCTTGTCCTCCATTGTCTCCTGTCTCGCCTTTCTCCTTGTCTCCTCGTCTCCTTTCTCCCCTTGTCTCCCCCTCCTTGTCTCCTTGTCTCCTTGGCCTCCTCGTCGCCTTGTCTCCGTTTCTCCTTACCTACCTTGTCTCCTTTGCTTCTTTACCTTCCTCGTCTCCTTGTCTCCTTGTCTCCTTGTCTCCTGTCTCCTTGTCCTCCAATCGTCTCCTGGGCTCCTTGTCCTCCTGACCGCCTGTCTCCTGTCCTCCTTGCTTTTACCTCCTCGTCTTCCTTGTCTCCTGTCCCTTGTCTCCGCGTCTCCTTTCTCCTTGTCTCCTTACCCTCCTTGTCTCCTTGCTTCTTTACCTCCTCGTCTCCTTGTCTTCCTGTCTCCTTGCTCCTTTTGTCTCCTTGCTCCTTGTCTCCTCGTCTTCCTTGTCTCCTTACCTCCTTGTCTCCTTGTCTCCTCGTCTCCGGGTCGTCCTCGTCCTCCTCGTCTCCTTGTCTCCTTGTCTCCTTGTCTCCTCGTCGCCTTGTCTCCTGTCCTCCTCGTCTCCTTTCTCCTTGTCTCCTTGTCTCCTCGTCTCCTTGTCTCCTTAGTCTCACTTACCTTCCTTGTCCCTCCTTGCTTCTTTACCTCCTCGTCTCTTGTCTCCTTGTCTCTTGTCTCCTCTCTCCTTGTCTCCTTGTCTCCTTGTTCCTCCTCGTCCCTCCTTGCTCCTTGTCTCCCCTTGTCTCCTTGTCTCCTTGTCTCCGTTGTCTTCCCTACGTCTCCTTGTCTCCTCCTTGCTCCTTATAACCTCCTTTGTCTCCTTGCTTCTTTACCTCTCGTCTCCTTGTCTCCTTGGCTCCCTTGTCCTCCTCGTCTCCTTGTCTCCTTGTCTCCCTTGGCTCCTCGTCCCTCCTTGTTCTCCCTCCTTGTCTCCTTGTCTCCTTGGTCTCCCTTGGCTCCTTGTCTCCTCGGTCTCTTGTCTCCTTGTTCTCCTTGTCTCCTCGTCTCCTTGTCTCCGTGTCTCTCCCCGGCGTCCTCTTGTCCTCCTTGTCCTCCTTGTCTCCTCGTCTCCTTACCTCCTTGTTCTTGGTCTCCTTGTCTCCTCGTCTCCTTACCTCCTTGTCTCATTGTCTCCCTTGGCTCCTTGTCATCCTCGCTCCTTGTCTCCTTGTCTCCTTTCTCCTCGTCTCCTTACCTCCGTGTCTCCTTGTCTCCTGGTCTCCTTGTCTCCTTGCTCCTTGTCTCCTATGTCCTCCTTGTCTCCTTGTCTCCTTGTCTCCTTGTCTCCTTGTCCTCCTTGTCTCCTTACCTCCTTGTCTCCCTTGTCTCCTTGTCTCCTCGTCTCCTTGTTTCTCCATGTCTCCGTACCTCCTTGTCCCTTGTCCCTTGTCTCCCTCGTCTCCTTGTCTCCTTGTCCTCCTTACCATCTTGTCTCTCGTCTCCTTGTCTCCGTGTCTCCTTTGTCCTCCGTGTCTCCTTTCTCCTCGTCTCCTGTCTCGCTTGTTTCCTTCACCTCCTTTGTCTTCTTACCTCCTTGTATTTAGGTAGTTTTGTTACATAAGTAGATAAACGATGGGTAGGTAGTAAGTAGTTATTTAGTAGGACACAATAGAATAAGCATATGTGATAAGTTGGTAGGTAGGTATGGGGGCGTAGTAGGTAAGTACGTATAGATGTAATAGGTTTGTTTAAAAAGAAAAAAAAAAAAATAGGTACATGGTTAGTAATTTAGGTAGTAAGGTAGGGTGGCAATGGAATATTTTTAATGGTTGTTTTGAAATGGTTGTTTAAAGTGAATTCCGTTCTTAAGGGCGATGCCCAGATCATGTCGACTGGTATTGGTCGTTTCTGAGTCGTTCTGAGTCCGGTCGCCTGAGTCAGAGGGAAGGCAGAAGAGAGGTAGGGAAACTGGATTAAGGTGAGGGAAGAGGGAGGTAATAGAGCGAAGAGAGAGAGGAGAGGGAGGATGAACATAGGAGAAGGGAGAGGGTAGGGAAGGAATAGAGAGGGGTGGGGGAATGGGGAAAGGAAGGAAGGAAAGACAGAAGAGGAATAGAGGAAAAGTGGAAACAAAGAGTGGGAAGAGAAGGGTGAAGAACGAGAAAGAAGAGGAGGAGGAAGAAAGGTCAAATAGGAAAAAAGTATGAGGGAAGGAAATGGGAAGAATATGAAAAGACCAAACAAAAATACATTTACGCAGAAAAGGCTACGAGCATAAACAGATACAAATTGTAAATACGAGTGGAAGTAAGTAACAGAATTAAATTACTGAGAAATTGAAGATTATTTTTATAAAGAGGATGCACTTGTAACAGATATAGAAAAATGCGAAAAGAGAGACATATTAACTTAGAAATAAGTGTGACTGGCAGTCGAATTAATCATAATTGCAGAGTTTCATCCACTAATATTATTTAATGATAATTTGATAGCGCCATTTATAGACATGAAACCGAGGGGAACAGG